TGTGTGTATACACACACATATATTAACATGCCTAGGACCCACTCCAGACTGGGCTGTTCATTTAGTCTGAGGTGTTTTTTGGACTGGGATATTTTTTTTTCGGTTATTTTCAATCTTTGTTTTTGCTTTTATTAAACTCCCCAGTAATTCTAATATGTTTAAACTCCACAGTGATTCTAATATGCAGCTGAGGTAGAGAACCAGTAAGACTAAATACTACATAAGTGGTCAAACTACTTTTCTAAGTAGTTGTTTCCAATACTTATAACTTGTCTTCCAGTCTGAAGATGAGAACATCAGAATTAAGTGTAAATATTCTTTATTTTCAGACTGATAGGAAAGAAGTAAGAGGATAAGATCCATATCTATCTGCATATGAACACAGTTTTTACTTTGCTTTCATTAATAGGTTTCTTTCTGCAAAAAAAAAAAGCAGGCATATTCTGTGGTCATATTTAAGAAACCATATTAATATATGAGGATTTGCAATTCAGGCCATATTTTTCTATTTCACTTTCCATCAGAATGTTTTTAAATAGCTAACAGTCACTACTTCTCAGAATGCACCTGTGAAAACCACCTTGGCTTCCTTAAGTTTCTGTCCAATATGATCACTTAGTCCTTATATAGTGCTTTTCATTTTTGGAACTCAAATTGTTTCTGGATTTTAATAACCTGCCCGACTTATATAGAACTATATTATTCCTCTTTTCAGTTATGCAAAACTGAGGTGTAGAGAGGTGACCTAAGTTAAAACCATATAACATGGTGCCGTGGAGATAGTTGATATGCCCAGAATATTTGATGAGGAAAGAGTTCCCAGGCCTGCTCAAGTGACCAATAGGCTTTTCCCACGGGCTTACTGGTCCCTATTACCAAATCCTTCCTTTTTTCAGTCTTGCCCAAATGATCATCATTGTTCCAGCTTGTCAGTCTGGACACCTGTAGATTGTTGGCAACTGATCAGCCTAACTCCAAATGACAGCCAGCGTGTTCCTGAAGTGGGCTTACCAGAAAGAATGGATATCTATACCTGAATTTAAGTTCCAAAATTCTTATTTATTTTTAAGTGTCAGATGATTTATGAAGATTGCAGGTTTTCTCATAGCTCTTAATCCTTTACTTTGTTGAAGCCATCAGTACCATTATGTTGCAATGGTCTACTTCTGGAACAGGGTTTTGTTCTAGGTGTTTTTCTGCCCACAGGGCTCTAAAGTGCACCCAGCCTATATTTGGTAACCTCGAGGTCCAGAGTGAGGCTTATTTGGGTGTGTATCATCTTTGAAGGACCTCACTACAGTATCAGTTTGTAAATCACAGAGATAGATGGGGGTAAGTTTTCCTCAGGTAGACACCAGTGCCCGTACCATATTTGTGTTTATTGTTCACAGTTGGAACTCAAAACAGACAACAACCCCCAATTTCCCTTATATGCTCCCAGCGAACTGCTGTGTCACGCAAGAGAAATAAAAAGAAAAAAGTGCCCCCAAGGACGGTTGAACCTGTTACTGTGAAACAGAAGCCCAGTGTGTTAGACATTGAGAAGAAGCCAGCAGCAGGGGCCTTGGAGCACTCTGGTCCCCAAGCCTCAGAGCTCACCTCCACCAAGGACAGCCATGTCCTGGGATTCGGCATTGTTCTTGAATCACCTTCCTCAGATGTAAGTTGATGTTTTCTGGCTGCTGACTGTATCGGATATATCTCCCAGGGATTCTATAATATGAATATGCTTTCTCCTCAAATAGTTCTGCCTAAGACAACTAGAGGAACTTGGAGAATACATGTGAGAAAGAGGAAAAAGAAGACCAGTAGTAATTTTCCTGCCTAGAATTTTCTTTTTTGAAAAATTCATGCTGTATTTATTTAAACATGTTTCCATTCTTTATCTCTGAAAGAAGAAGGGTGATGGTGTAAATAATCTGCTCACTAATTTCTTTAACATTTTTAATTTTGAAGTGGCAGTTTTCAATTTCCTCAGTGTAGAAAACTAAAAGAACATAATTAAATCCTTTGTAGATGGGCATAAATGAACAGAAGCATATAGATAAGGTCATACCTTTCTGGAAACACAAACTAATAATAAAAAAAGAAGCAGTAGTGCTAATTCTATTTTATAGATGCAAGCTACACTGCTAATTAGGTGGCAGTGCCATGTCATTTACTTGGTATAATGATAGGTTAACATTCTGCAAAGGTTTGCTATTTTAATATCATAGCTTGAATGTTGTTGCAGTCCAGGATGTTGGATTATATCTGAGATAGCCATCTGACTGGCTGTTTTATATTCATAGACCGTAAAATGAATTTCTATCATAATGTGCTGTATTTGCCATTGCATACTCTACTTACAATATCTTTATCTAAGTACACTTATGTTGTGAACCCCAACTTGTTGGCAGAGTTCTTAAAATAAACATGAGTGAGTGATCTGTTATTATCAGATCTAGTAGGAATCAGATCCTGCTGAGAACTCCCCCAGGTCTATATAGGACTGGAGTTTGGCCCTACCTTTTAAACTTTAAATAAGAAACAAATTGCTATTTTTTAAGTACTCTCTTTCAAACTGAAGGATTGCTAGCATGTATTCACACTGGGTCTTTAATAAAGGAAGACAACCAAAATAATCATTTTGTAACTTTCTTTTTTTTGGTTCTGGGGATTGAACTCAGGGGTACTCAACCACTGAGCCCACATCATCAGCCCTTTTTTATATCAGTCTCACTGAGTTTTGAACTCATGATCTTCCAGCCTCAGCCTCCTGAGCAGCTGGGATTATAAGGCTTGCTCAACCACACCTTGCTCATCTGATGACTTTTTTTAAAAATATTTACTTATTTATTTTAGTTGTAGTTGGACACAATGCCTTTATTTATTTATTTATATGTGGTGCTGAGGATCAAACCTAGGGGCGAACGCTCTACCGTTGAGCCACAACCCCAGCTTCATCTGATGACTTTTTAGAATAGAAAATCATTTATCCAATCCTTGATATTGAGGTATTTTTAAAAAATGTATAAGCAGGGGCTGTGGTTATAGCTCAGTGTTAGCACACTTGTCTAGCATATGTGAGGCACTGGGTTCAATCCTCAGCACCACATAAAAACAAATAAATAAAATAAAGGTATTATGTCCATCTATAACTAAAAAAATTCTGTTAAAATCTCTAAAAATAATTTTTAAAAATTTTAAAAATAATCATATGCTACATATGTTAGGAAGTTCTTCTAAACATTTAATTTTTAAAAATCACTAATAATTCTACCCTGATGTCTGCTCACTTTATTATATCATATTTTTACTGCAACTAAGGGCCTGGTTCAAATCCCAGATAAATCATAAATTTGGAAACAAAGATAAATTATTCTACAAAATACATTTAATCCTAATCATTATTCATTATACTTTCATTTTTCCTTAAATTTTCTAATTTCCTTAAATTTTTAATCCTAAGCATTATTCATTATACTTTCATTTTTCTTAAATTTTCTAATTTTAGTATTAAGAACAACCCATGTAGGAGATGATGTACATCTAATACTAATGACTGAAATTTCTCCTTTCATTATTTTTAAGCTCCAAATGTACTTTAGAGATAAATTAAAGAAGATCTGATAAAGGCTTTGTGTACATTCATGAAATAGAATTTTTATTATCTTTACCAAAATCAGTTTTATGATTTCACTTACATATTATATAAAAATAATTTACTTCGTATTCATGATTATTTTTGTTAACAAGAGCTATTAAATTTGATTAAGCACATTCAGAATTATCCATGAAAACTCAGGTGTTGAAAATCTCTTTAAAGTAACTTGCTTCTAAAGAAAAGCAGATTATCTATATGCATACTGCCTTTACATTATTCAGCTGATGCACCATTTGATTCACCTCTTCAACAGAAACCAAAACTTTATCTAGCAGGCATGGCAGTGAGACCCAGCATTGGATGTGTATATACTGTCTAGAGATAGTGCTCCCAGGCATTCATGAGGCTAGACTGGGGTGGGACATTGACTCCCCAAAATGAAGGGACCATCAATGCCAAGGCACCCAAACTTAGGTGCCTTTTTAGTCTTCTATTATTTCTTAGCTGTGAGGCTTTTAAAATTTGTTAGAAGAGGAAATAATACCTATCATCTACAAGAATTGTGTATTTGAAGTTGAACTCTCAGAAGTATGCAGGGTTGGGAGATCAGATCCAAAGTCATAGGATGGGCAAGTGGTTCGGTGTTGATAGAACAGCTGTCTGACTGGCTCTAGTAAAAGCAGGATGAGGCCAGAGACTGAAAGCCCTGATACCATGCTGAGGCCTTCAGCCTTCATCTTGTGGGCACTAGGGAGCCAGTGCAAATTTCCAATAGAGGAATATCCTGCCTGTGTTTTAGAAGAGTAACCAGAACAGTGTTGTGGATGGCAGAAAGGCAGAGAGAGGGAATATTAGCATCAAGGGGAGCAGAGGATGATCACTGTTGTCAACCAGGGAAGAGACTGTGATGGTCTGGCAAGAGCAGGGACCCTGAGAGAAAGCAAAACGTGAGCTCCGGAGGAGAGACTTTCACTGGAGTGAAAACCCTAGATTTTTACCTTAGAAAACTGGATTGGTTACTCACTGGTACTGCCAACTTTAACTGAGAGAGGGAAATAAAAGCAGAAGCTAGCTTTCTGTTCTGGAAAGCAAAGAGAGTGAGTTAAGTGTCCTCAAAATGTTTCTAGACACAAAGTGCACAGAAGAAAGATTAGTGCTAGGAACAATGGAAAAATGAACATCACACCTATGCCTTATTGCTTTCTTTAATATGTGTGTGTATGTGTGTGTGTGTGTTTAGTTATTGATGGACCTTATTTTATTCATTTATTTATATGCAGTGCTGATAATTGAACCCAGTGCTTCACACATGTGAGGTAAGCACTCAACCACTGAGCCACAACCCCAGCCCCTTTATTACTTTCTTAAATATAAAAAAAAAATTACTGTGACTTTTAAAAATTCAGCATATTAAGTTACCTTTTTAACACTGGGACTTGTATTGTCACACAAATACAAATGCACATAGCCATGGCACAAAACTGATGTGAGGGCTACATGGAGCTGTAGATGATGGCAGGTGGCTCAGGTCTTCTGCCTGGTAACAATTGTTCCAACTCAAATGCAGAAAAACACTAAGCTCTAATCAGAACTACCTGAAATGTCAACACCTTGGTGTTTTAAGCATTAAATAATCCATAGAATATGGGAAAATCCTGGGGCTGGGGTTGTGGCTCAGTGGTAGAGTGCTTGCCTAGCATGCATGAGGCACCAGGTTTGATCCTCAGCACCACATAAAAATAAATAAATAAAATAAAGACATTGTGTCCATCTACAACTAAAAAAAATTTTTGAAAAAAAAAGGAATATGGGAAAATCATATTGCAGTGCCCGGCACATAAAATGTACTCGATGAATGTTATTTTCTTAATCTGCAGATGAAAAAAAAACCGCATTTGTATTAAAGATAAAATACACTTATGAAACATTGGATCTATGCTTGGCTTTAATTAGAACCTTGGCTTTAATTAGAACTCCTCAATTTAACCACCATTTGCTTGTTCTTAATACTGCTACCCACCCACCTTTAGGGCTCTAATCTGATCTGAACACTCCTCCTTTATAGAACTTTTCTGTACTTTTTTGTAATTGTTTACATGATTTTCTATCCTTCCACCCCAGCTTCTCAAGAACAGAAACTAGATAATATAAGTAGTCATAATATTCATATCCCATCCTATGCTAAATAAACGATGTCATTTATCCTTACTCTTAGAGATGTTCTTACTATCCTCCTCACAGAACCTATACAAATTCACACCCAGAAGACAAAGTGCTGGTTCCCAAGCCAGGTCTGTCATCTGCTCTTGTCCCTGCATGAAAGACATTTTTTTCTAAGCACATTTTAGCACAGTTTTTATATATTATGAGCACTCAGGAACTATTTATGAGGTGATCATTACATGAAAGAGACCACCATGCTACACTATGGCTATTTATTCTGTTTACTTGGAAGTTTCTTGGGGAGAAGTGAGTCAGGCTGCTGCCTTAGAATCTCAGCTCTGCAACCCTGAGCAAGAGAATCTGCCCCTTCCCTCAGATTTCTTCCTATAAAACAAGAATAATTATACTCTCATCTCATAGAGTTGGCCTGTTGGAAGAAGTAAATGAAGCCATCTGTATAAAGCACTTAGAACAGTGCCTGGCACATTTGAAGCTCTCCATAAGTTTTGGTTTTTCTTTTTTATCCTTAACAGTCCTATCTAAGTAGCTTTACAGGAATAAATGTATTTTTAATTAAACTTACCTGTATGAATGAATAAACAGATGCATGTGAACAAATTGTGTTTTAAAAAGGAAATAGCCAGAAATATTTCTCTTTTAAAGCAGGATTATTTGAACCTTTTTAAATTAGCACATTAAATACAATGCAAACCTAAATTACAAAGAATCAAACCAAATTTCACACTTAAATACAATATTTAACTCTTTATTTTTCTCATGAGTATATAACCCATGGCAGTTGTTCGTTTCTTAGTGACTGTTTTTTAATATATATTGATTTGGTTTTTCAGGTCAGATATACCTGGTATATGTTAGCTTTTTTTTTTTTTTTAAAGAGTGAGAGAGGAGAG